TGTCAGGCGGTTGAACCGACCATAAATAAAACATAACAGATAAATTGTCAGGCGGTTGAACCGACCATAAATAATTAAAGCAGTTTATGGTGATAAAGTCATCCACGTAAATAGTATGTAAAATATAAGGCGGCTCAGCCGACCAATGCATGTGTAACTATGGTGCATCGAGCATCTATAAGAGTTAATATAGAGGTGGTAATCCGCACCCTATAGGATATAATAAATATGCATATGGAAATTAAAATTTTAGAGTGATCGTGCTGATAACGTGTTATAAAAAGAGTAAAAAAATTTATCATTTCGATAAATATAAATAAAGACAAAAATTTTATACCTGGTAGAAATAGTGTACTGAATAATATGAAAAAAGAGAGATATTATTGAGTTGTTTAAGAGTTGTGTGTTTTATATATTTTACAGTGAATCGCATCATCCTTATTTATAGTCGATAAAAAGTAAGTTACTGTGCACGCATAGTGACAATGGGGTCTACATGAGATAAAACTGTGAACGAATTCTGTGTACGCAGCCTTATTTGATTTTTATAACAGTGACTATATTTTCTCTATTAGTCAACAATTGTGTGACTTAATTCAATAAATTAAAACGTCGTGACTATATTTTCCCTATTAGTCAGCAATTGTGTGACTTAATTCAATAAATTAAAACGTCCTACATGTTATAAAAGTCAAATAAGGCTGTGTACACAGAATTCGTTCGTAGTTTTATCTTATAAGGATCATATTGTCACTATACGTGCACAGTAACTTACTTTTTATCGACTATAAATAAAGATGCTGCGATTCATTGTAAAAGATATAATACACACAACTTTTAGACAGCTCAATAATATTTCTCTCTCTTTCATATTATTCAGCACACTATTTCTACCGGGTATAAAATTTTCGTCTTTATTTATATTTATCGAAATAATAAATTTTTTTACTTTTTTTATAACACGTTATCAGCACGATCACTCTAAAATTTTAATTTTCATATGCATATTTATTATACCCAATGGGGTACGGATTACCGTCTCTATATTAATTCTTATGGATGCTCGACGCACCATAATTACACATGCATTGGTCGGCTGAGCCGCCTTATATTTTACATACTATTTACGTGAATGATTTTGTCATCATAAACTACTTTAATTATTTATTTATGGTCGGTTCAACCGCCTGACA